ACTGAAAATTCTCATTCCAGGCACACTGGGATGGGTGGACATCCTAGAAAAGGATTTCGGTTTCCAGAACCTTAGTTCAGTATACTTTCCAGATGATCAAATTAGCCTTGATGTTTGATCTAGGCAACTAAGGAACAAGTAGTGTAAGATCAGCCAGTCCTAGTACCCCTGTGCTTCACTAGCATAGCTTATGATAGTCAATTGGTCCATTGATTACACACCATATTGTTCCAGATGGGATTAAAGGATCTTACTAAACACACTACACCACAATACAGGCAAGTCACCATTCCCCAGGATTCTTGTACTTTAATGATCCCCCTCTCTCCCTCTCTTCTCTCTTTATTCCGTACAATGTACTTTGTTCTTGTTATAATCTTTCAATTCACACTTCAAAATCATCTTCTCCATGACGTCTCCCTTCATGAAGAATCATGGCCATCTACGTTCACCAAACACCTGACCTGCCTTCTGATCACCGTACCTGCGGCATCACCTCAAACAAGTTTGCCTCTCTGGGTTATGCTTTGTTACCTTTTACCTCCTTTATTTACTCATAACGCTCTATACCTCAGAGATACCCAGTAATTTCTTTTGTTCTCTATTTTGTTGAATGAATGAAAAAATGAACACATTCTTTTCTTAGTGCTTACAACAATGTGGCTTTTTTCCTAAGGATCCATGCCTAGTTTTCAATTTTAGGTAAGCATCATGTGTATTTTCATTTTTTCTCTTAGTTTATCTTCTGCCTCAAGCAATATGGCCCCCTCTTCTAATTTGCCAATTTTTGATTGGTTACAGGTTCCTCAGCTCAGATTTCATTGCAATAGTATTGCTTCTAAAGCAATATGACATAAATGCTGCATGAGGTTCTTTTCGGAAGGGACAGATGGTCAATCCACTCTTCTAGTCTAGCTCTAGTTTACAGTCCTGTGTGTATGAGTCTGGTGTGCACCTGCAGTGCCTGTTCTGGTTAATGCCCCATGGAGCCCAGTTCTCAGGGCTCTGACAGCTGATTCTTTAGGGTTTGATGCTGGCTGTCTATTTCCCCACTCATTCCTCAGAACTCTTCTTGGGCACCAAGCCCTTCTGGAAGATTCTCTTACCAAGCCCCTCCCTTTCAGTCAGGTATCTACATCTTTGCACTATGACACGTCTTATTTTTATCATACAATATTTCATTATATGTCTCTCCCATCAACTACTCTTTAAGGCTGGCATCGTAGTTTTCAATCATGCTGTTCTCAGCTCAAAATAGGTACCCAAGGAATCTTTATTAGATGGGTGACTATAAATGGCAACAATTAACTGGACATTTCCAGAAATGGAGGTAATTATTTTGAAATTTATTTTTACTTTTACTTTATGTGTATGAGTGATGTGACTGATAGCACATAGGTACATTCATGCCATGAAATGCCCATGGAATGGAGGACAGAAGAGGGTGTCAGAGCCCCTGGAACTCGAGTTTCAGATGGTTGTTAGCTGCCACGTGGGTGCTGGGAACCAAACCTGGGTCTTCTGTAAGACCAGCCAGTGCTCTTAGCTTCTGAACCATCTCTCCAGTCCCCTATTTTGAAGTATTTTACCAAACAGAAATGCTTAATGTTTGAGATGGATATGTTTCACCTGACTCAAATGTTGTATAATGCATTTCTGTATCAAGTTCAACTTGAGTCATTGTATAATGTATACACGTATCAAAACATTGCATTTCATTTCATTCTTTCAAAAAAATTTTATGTTTTATACATCAATTAAAAGAATTTTAATTTAAATTTTAAAATATAGTTTCAGAGGAAACTCTTACATGAAGAAAGAGCATTTTTCCCTCAGTGTGTTGCTGTGTAATAGCTTTTACATATTCCAATGAGCCCGTGTCTTTAACAGAACTTGGCAAACTTGTATAATTGCAAGACTTGGCTGTCAGAAAGGGGAAACGTCCAGCCTTTGGCTAGCTGAGCCTTTCCAATTCACTCTACCTAAAATTGCAACTTAAATTTAAACATCTTCTTAGTTTTGATAAGTGCTAACCACCACTGAGCCTGTACCAAAGCTAATCAGACATTTCCAAGTCACCCAAAAGATGCCATGGAAGGTGGGGGCATTAACTAGTCCTGTAAATGAAAGGTAAGATTTGATTTGATGGGAGAAAAGATGAACAAATTAAAAGCATTTGATAAATAAATGGGGCTTGATGTGGTGTGTTCCCGTGACAGCGAATGTGCACAGATAAAGAAAGCACACGCTCGGGGTGACACCTTTGACCAGCTTGATGGTGAACGCGGAGAAGCCAGGACAGGTTAGCTCTGAGTACTGATGCTTAGACTAAAAGGGACATGAAGAGCTAGAGCTTATGACAGGCGAGTGACGAAAACAGTACCAATAAATGGACATAAGATTCCAGCAGAGAGTCGAGAGGAAAGGAAGGGCCTATGAAAGACGAGGCGAAGGTTTATTCATGTTTGTGAAAGGACGGAAGATCGGCTGCTTTAGTCTTGACTCTGGCCACTCAGGCATTTATCGGGATGTCCTCTGTTCACGGACTTTATTACATCCTTTTGAGTTCCATTGACCTGTCACATGACTGCCTCTGTTTGTTCCTCTCCCTAAACTCCTGAGAAGCTGCCATGTCCTATTGAGTCAAACATACGCATCTGTCCTAGACAGAAAGCACTGGACTGAATGTGATTATGGGTGGTGAATTCTCTATCTCACTAGTTGTGTGACTTTTTTTTTATCAACTTTAAAAGAAATTTATTGATAATTTCATACATGCATATAAGGTGTTTTGATCAAATCCATCACCACTCCCTCCCCTCCAAGTCCCCCTGTATCTCTTTCTGACAACTTCATGTCCTTTCCTTCCTTCCGTTCTTTCTTTCTTTCTTTCTTTCTTTCTTTCTTTCTTTATGGACCATGACCTGATTGGTAGTAATTTTTGTAATGGTGGTAATTTGTTGGCTAAGAAATTGTATGAAACAGGGAGCAAGCATCAAAATAACACACAGCATAATCAGGGGGTGCTTGATATTGTAACATTTCCTCCTCCGAAGAGGTAACCCTAAAATATTTTAAGGATTAGATAAAGCTCCCAAATACTTTTGACATTTTTGGCCTTTGGAACAGAGTATGCTGCTAAGAGGCCCAAGGACATTCTGACTTTTAGTCAAGAGACTGCCTATTTTTCTTTGGGATCTTTTTACCCTAACTTCCTAGGCAATTCCTACCTCCTATTCTTATCACATTGTCCCCTGAAGAGGTTACCCAAATTGTCACTAGGGAATCAGGATGCAGAACACTCTAGCTTCTTCCACGGTGAACAGGGATGCAGGATGAGGCAACTGGGGTAACCCTTCAGTGGGTCTGTCTGAAAGACTCCCAAATTGCATAACTCTTATCTATAGGAAAAAAAAAAAAAGTCCTTGGCTGGTGACTAGGAAATGTGAAGGAGAAGTAATGGCAACAGTAGTTAGCATTATAAATTCTAGACAGGGAACCAGAAAAAATTCAGAACAGAGCAAATTTCAAAAGTTCTTATCAGAGTCCATTGGAATTTCTTGACAAGAGCTTCCAAAAGCATCCCTCTGTTGGGTTCCTCCTCATTTTTCTTTTGTCTGACAAGGATGGATTTGAGAGTGATGAATTCAGGGTTTGCTTTCAGGCATTTTGATAGCTGTTGGAGTGGCTAGAATCAGTGTCAGTTCCCTCTCAAAGGCTTCTAGATAGAGGGAGAAAACAAATTTAGCCATAATTTTAGAACAATAGTGGGTTGTCTCCCTTAGCTACAGGTGGGCACTACAGTACTGCAGACCAAGATTTGAAATCTTACATCTGAGCAGCACTTTCTGCTTAGAAACAAAATCATCAATGAGAAATAATTATCCAAATAACATTTTATGAGGGCTTAAGCCTAATGTGTGGGAAGTGTAATCCCCTGAACTCTTAAAGAAATATACTGATCACTTTAATCTTTGGTTATACTTTCCTTTCAGGTATTTAAGACCATACAGTTGGCCCAGATAAACCAATTTATTTTTACTCTTAAGGTCATTGGAGGATCTGTTCCTCAGGGGTCACATGGGCTTGTGAGGAGACCCTGGCTCCTTTCTTTTACCAGTTCCGTCTATGTGAAGATAAGTCAGAGGTCCTGCTCGACCGTGGCTGGCTGCACCTGGAAGCTTGGAGGAAATGTAAAGAATGTTAAAAGGATATGGGAATGGAGATATTTTCCAAAATAGATAAAATGAGAAAGCCTAAGCAAGTGATGAAGGTCTATGTGGGTTTGTTATATATAAAGGATGAGACAAAAATAATATACACATAATATTAAAATTTCTAAGGTCATAGTTTAGTCAACTATTTTAAGGAACAAAATATATATCTAGTCAAGGTTTATCTGAGAACATTTGGTTTTTGCCCAAGCTTTACCTACATAGCACATGGTAACTAAAAGTACCAGACAGGTGGAACTAACCTTCTTAGATGTTTAACAGCCATACTTTGAGGCCTATAATAATTTGGTCAGAGGGACTTAAAGGACAGTTTTTTGCTTCTTGCCCTCCAAGGTCAACTAGTTTCAGGGGACTATGGAGCATCTCACAAAATATCCTGTAACTGCAGAGAGTCACCTGTCCTCCTGTTCAGGGAGGCCATGGAGACCCCACCAGATGGACTTGAACCAGTGTCCAATCTACAAAGAGGAGGCTCAGCTCAGAGGAAACATTTCCTCCATGTGTTCAAGTGAAGCCAGCCAGGGTCGAGTTGTGTGACTTTAAAAGTCAGTTCCCTTTTCGTTGGAATAATACACTTGAACTTTGACCTCTAACTTCCCATTAAAAGAATTAGGAAATGGAGCCACCAAGTCAGATGAACTGAGTGTGTATAATTGCTGTGCAGTATTTTAATATACATTTTGTTTACAAGCTAAAATATTTTCAAATGATAGTAAGTGTTAAACATCAATCAACAAGAGTAATTAGCCTCTGTGTGTTCTAGTGCCCTGGATTCTTCACTTAGGAGAAAAGTTGCTAAAAATGATTCTATTTTTGTTGACACTTCAGTAGTTGCGATGAATCCTTGCTGACTTTCTACCTGATGCAAGCATTTTGCCTAATTCTGATTTCACGCGTCGGTAAATTCTGAACAATCCACATCTTGGAGCGTATCATGTACTAATTTTGCTCTGACAACCTTGTAATGGGAATTTGAACACTTATTACATTTTTCTTGTTAAAACCAGGTGGGGCAAAGCACTCCGAGTGTTTATACATCCTCCCCTGGCCTAGATGAGGTGACGTTTGATGTATCTGTTTTCTTTCACTTTGAAATGCCATTTTGAACAATACTGTCCTTCACTGTACTCACGTTTCGCCTGTGAACTCCTATCAATCTGACCCTCAGCCAGAGATGGGTCAAGAAGAAAAGACCATTTTAATTACCTAAAGTCCACCCAGAAACATTGGAGACGTTACAGGGGATGGAAGGTTTATGAATATAACCTTTTCAGTTTGGGGTAGTTTCTGCCATGAAGTTCTTTGTAACAGGAACAGCTCCTTCACACCTTGGCTTACACTCAGTGATCCCCATCAAGCAATGATGATGTTTCTTATGTATCTGCAAGAGGTTCCAAAGATCTTGATTTAAAGCACATGAAGATAGATTGAAAATATGCAGTAAATCGGATTTGTAAAAATTTATACCAAATTTCTTCTTGATAAAGCCGTTTAATTTTATTGTATTAAATACAACTGAAAATTATCAAAGAAACCACTTCTCACATCATACTTTTAAATAGACAAAGGAAAATAATTATGAGAAAGCCAAGAGAAAAATGTCACTTTTTAAAGAGAACATATTAGAGACATTTTGGTATAGTTGGGCATAGGAACAGTAAGTTCCAGGACACGTAGTCACATAAAATATCTTCTGATATATATTCACAGAAATCAGATGGCATAATAGACATTTTGTAAATACTGTCTGGTTCAATCTTGACTTCACTAAAGGAAAATACTATAGCCTATTAGCAGTAGTCAATCCTTAAAAGTGCAAAGTTGACTTTGAATGCATCAAGTAGTCAATAAGTAAATAGTATGGGATGTTCTCCTTTGAGTAGGCTAGGCAAGTAATAACATGTGTTGAGATGGAATTCTACATTGTTACTGTAGTTGATCTCTACTAGCTTTGTCTTTGAACCTGTTGGTATTCCTCTTTCTAATCCAAAGATCCAGAAACAGATCTGTGTTTCTCTTCCCTACCTGTCAGAGAAATATTCTTCCCTGTATCTGTTTTGGGTTCACCTAGAATCTTTGTTATATCTGATGTAAACCAGCAGGGGTGATGCTATGATATCCAATAGAGAACAGACCTGTGCAAGCTTACAGGAGCTCTGCAATGAAGGCTGCACTGTGTATCTCACCCTCATTAAGGCAGGTAGCATCCTTAGCACCCTGGAGAGGGTAGCTTCTAGTATGCCTATTTTGTGCTTGAAATAGCTAACCCTTGGGGATTAATTCGGAGGCTAGTTACTTTAGCTAAAGGTTTTTCTTAAGCTTGCTACTGGCTCTTTCCTGCTGCAGGAGGGATAGGAGGATTGGAACACAGGAGTCATCTGGCTTCAATTATTTGTTGTTTCTCTCATATCTCTGAAAACGATATGAGTCCAAGCAGAAGAGGGCCTGGGTTTCTGCAGGTTTTCCCAGAAGAGATGCCCAAGCTGAGATTTTTAAACAGGGAAATGTGTCGTTTCAGTAAGGCCAGAGGCACAGTGCTTCCTTTGTAAGAAGGAAGCGAACGATCTTTGTGAGATGTCAGTAAGAAAAGATGTTTGTTTTCTGGATGCCTGTCCTCTGGATGCCTGACTTCTCGTACAACTTTCATTCCTACGTAGCAAGAACAGAACAGACTTGAAGTGTCTTATTGACTTGTGCCAGGAAATCTGAAGAGTTCATAGCTATAAGTTGTTAGTGGAAAAGCATGACTCATACACAGATGACCACAAAATATTTCCCAGAGAATTACCAGTTGCTCTGCGTAGGAGTTTGATACCTGGCCTGTGTCACCCTCCCTGTGTCTCATCCTCCTGGCCTGTGTCATCCTCCCTGTGTCTTGTCCTACTTTTCAGGTCCTCCAAACCTCTACATCCCTGCGGAGTTCTGCTTCCACCTACAGATACAATCACCCAGGTGTGTGCGTTTCAAGGCTCCACAATATAACAAATACTTATAAATGGAGGCAAATGCTTAAGATATGCAGATTATTTAAAGGGAAAGATATCCAATGTCAACATGGGGCCTGTGCACACACATGTTCATGTGTAACCTTACACACACATGTACACATACAAGTTCACACATACATACATACCAGAGATGTGTTCCAGATTTGATCACAAGTATTTTGTTTCTGGAAGCAAGAAAATGAAATTATGATAATCTCTTTCTTTCTCTCTCACAGGAAAATATCATAAGGTGTCATGTACAAAATGCTTTCCCCAAACAGATACTAGGAAGTTGACTACCATACTCTTGTCAAAGACATAAAAGTAGTCTACATAGCACCCTACATTCATGGGAGTTCTTGGACTGTCTCCAAAGGACTGCCTTCAATTGTGAAAACAATTTAACATTTTTTTTTTGTATTTGGAGAGCCGATAATGACTATTATATTTACGACTAAGTCAAAATTTTAAAATAAATTCACCCAGATTTAGAAAGTAGTTTGGAGTTAATACCTTCTGAACATAGCTTAGATATTCGCAAGGTAGACTAATAATAAACTTAAGCTAATAAAAGTATCCCCAAGACCACTTCTCTGCTACTCCTGTCTTGTTTACCTCCTTCTTCATAAATTAGCATTTTATTTCCTTCATGCCAGGTATCCTGCAGATGTTAGGAAAATAAAAGCCCCTGGTGTAAAATATAAAAGTTTCTGACAAAAGGTAGATAAATTCTTATTTATTAAAAATAATTTTCTATCTTAGCATGAGGTCAATAGACTTAATGAAAAAAATCATGGCATAAACAATACTGCGACTGCCTAATTATGACATATCAACAAATCCCAGCATGCACTAGGCTATGGGGTTGGAGACTTATTTCCAGAGGCGGAAGACAGATATTATTTTTATCTAAACTTCACAGTGTTTCCTAAAATTAGGCCAGATTAAAATGGAATCTAATTTATGTTGGGGAGTCATGCTGATAACAAATATGAAGAACTGAATCGTAGGCTGAATTAAACCAAACAGAAAGTCTTCATTACGTGAATGGACAGAACTGCATCACTCTTGTCGGAGGGTCCAACTCTAAAGCTGCTTTATGGGCGTGTTTGCCACAAACAGTCTTTAAAATTTCATTTACTTATTTATTTATTTATTGGTCTTTTTGAGACAGGGTCTCCCTGTAGCCCCAACTGTCCTGGAACTCACTATGTAGATCAGGGTGGCCTTGAACTCACAGAGATCCACCTGCCTCTGCCTCCCGAGTGCTGGGATTAAAGGCGTGAGCCACCACACCTGGCAACAACTTCATTTTTAAAAGTATGCAGTAAATTGTAAAGTTTATAAAAGTAAAATAAAATCCATACTTTTAAGCATAACTCATTAACATAGAGATCTGTATCACATCAACATGTAATCAGATAGTCACAGACAAATACATGCTTGCAGACATGTTTAATATCAAATTATTCAAAATATAATGTAGCATAGTTTGCAGGAATGAAATTTAATTTTAGGCGAATCCTAAAACGCTGAGTAAGGTCTACCTTAATGAAAAATAACAGATTTTTCTTGTAAAGAAAAGCTCTGTTGGGTACTGCTGGTAAAGGGTTTTCTGAGTAGATTTTACCAAGATTTCTGGAGGAATAAAAAGTGAAAATTTCATAATACATGGGCTGACGTCATACTTGGGAGCGCTCTTAAAACAGGTTTAGGACTATGCTTGGTCTTGTGGAGACAGGAGGACATCACAGAATTTCTAGTATTGTCCCACCAGCATTAAGAAGCTTGGATAGATGCAGTGGAACTAGTGCTGTGTACAAAAGAATACACAGCCCATAGTAGTGGAAATTGGCTTCATGGAGACTGATACATGGGAAAGAAGACAGTGAGAAGAGACAGAGGTGGGGAGCGGGCACAGAGGGTCAGAGGCCATGGGAAGGTGATGGCTGTAGCAATGAGAAACCTGGGCACTTCCAGCACGATGCTCACTAAGTACTTGCTGTAGGAACTACCAAGTCCACATAGCACCCCCTCATTCTGTCGGGATCCTGAGAAGAGACAGAAGAGACATGGCCTTCATGTTGAAGTTGATCATCACTGATAACATTGCCATGTAGAGAAGTAGAAAAAGTTGGCAGCATATTGGCTCTGTGTCAGAACAGGCCCCCAAAGAATGAAAAATCAGTGTAGAGAAAGGTGGCTTTCCTCTTTGCAACAAAAATTCAACACCCTTAACCAAACCCTCGCCTCTGACATCCACTTGTGAAATGCTACCATGATATCTCAATGCTACAGAAAAGTAGACTATAAAATGAACCATAAATAATGCTAAAATGACCCACCTTTTAAAGTTCCACAAGGAAAGGAGAGAATCCATACATGATTGGGCATTTCAGGTAAAACCAACAAATAGGCTGTGCTGGAGAAACATTTTCTGCTAGAGATGTCCCTGCCCTGGGCCCCTGTTTCTTTCAGTACTTTTTTCTTACTGATTCGTATAGACCTGGTAATTCTTTTGTAAATAAGAGGTAATAGATGGTGATCTCTATTTCACCTATACTTTAGATATGTTTTACTGCTTGGGTAAACATCCAGACTAAAGGGGAAAAGCAGCATGGGTACAATGAAAGAGACAAGTCTTTTTTATTTATCTTTGTGGTGGGGTGTAGGGATTCACCTCTTTTATCTGTAGGTTTAAGTTGCCTCATTCACATCCATGTTCTCTGGCTGCTTAAGTAAAAGGTAGAGGATAAAGTGAGAAGAATTTTCTCCATTAATCCTAGACATCTAAGAACTAATTCATTTTGAGGATTAAAGGAGACCAAGAGTGATCAATTTCCAAAGTAACATTACTTGAACAAGAATATGTGTCACAATAAAACAGTTTAAGTGTAATTATAACTTCCAGCCAAACTGTTATTTTCAGTAATAAAGGCAGATTATCACCACACACACACACACACACACACACACACACACACACACATACACACACACACCCTTCTGTGCTCTGAATTTTCTAAAGGCAACCTGTCTTCAGAACCCTAATGAGAATACTCCTGGATATGCATTTTCTTATTAGATGTTATAAAATGCATCAGAGAAGAGAAAGGAATGGTTTATAAAGCAAATAACACAAACCAAAGTACTCAATCTAATTTGTGGTCCATGTGAGAGATTGTAATTTTTTTACTGGGAGAAAAAAGTGACTGACACTTGCTTATAAATAGTATGATGAAGGGCTTGGTATTTCATTAAATATCCAGTGACAAATCAGACTGCATCATCAGAATAAAAGTTTGATAGGCGCTCAAGTTCAGGGGAATCATGTACAACGGCAACAGCAAAACATGCCATTCCTGCTGCTTCAATCTGGGAGTTTTATTTCAGAATGATGAGACCCTTGTAGCATCAATGATGCCATTTTATTGGCTTCCAGCATGTGTGCATATGCTCCTGAAAATGCTTCAGCCCACTGCATATTGCCGGCCACTTGAAGCCATAACCTTGATAGAGTAAAGTGCTCCCCAAAGTGTCAACATGAAAAATGTACAGAGTAAATTTGTAACCCTAAATCTCACTGTTGCAGAATATGATTGGACATAGTCGTGTAAGTTGGGGGAAAATAGAAGATGGAAGGGGAGGGGAGAAAAAAGACCAAGAGAGAGAGACAAATACATTAGATTTACCGTGGAGCCTGTCAACACCCAGAGTGGTTATAAATGACAGCCAAGGTCAGATACTAGAGAACAGAAAGAGGAAAGGTCAATCCATCTTATCCCACTTAGTTAACTTTTATGGGACTGCATAGGAAATATTTAAATGCTTTTTGTTTGAGCTAAATTATCGAGTTAGCCTTTCACCTTGGAGAGTGACTGGATTACAAGAGCAGACTGAATGGGGCATGGGTGAGGCAACACTTCATAGAGATCAGACAGAAAGGATGAGAAGAATCTCTCAGGCAACCAAGTTAGTGTCATGGTTGAGAGGCTCAGCAAAGATACGTGTGTGTCCTGAAAACAGTTGCTAAGACCAAAAGTGCTGGTTCACTGGTGAGTTTAAGATCTTCCCCCATCAAATGCCCTGCACTCTTTTATATGTATGTATGTATGTATGTATATAGACAGATAGATGATAGATAGATGGATGGATAGATAGAAGATGATAGATGATAGATACATAGATACATAGATCGATCGATCAATAGATAGATAGATAGATACATAGATAGTACATAGATAGATAGGTAGATAGATAGATTGATTGATTAATAGATGATAGATAGATAGATAGATTGATTGATTGATAAATAGACAGATGATGATAGATAGATGATAGATAGATAGATGATAGATAGATGATTGATAGATAGATAGATGATAGAGGATAGATAGATGATAGATAGATAGATAGATAGATAGATAGATTGATTGATAAATAGACAGATAGATGATGATAGATGATAGATAGATGGATGGATAGATAGAAGATGATAGATGATAGATAGATACATAGATCGATCGATCAATAGATAGATAGATAGATAGATAGATAGATAGATAGATACATAGATAGTACATAGATAGATAGGTAGATAGATAGATAGATAGATTGATTAATAGATAGATGATAGATAAATAGATAGATTGATTGATTGATTGATAAATAGACAGATAGATGATGATAGATAGATGATAGATAGATAGATGATAGATGTATAGGCAGACATAAAATTGATAGGTGATTGATAGATAGATAGATGATAGATAGATGTATAGGTAGACATAAAATTGGGTAGTTGATAGATAGATGATAGATAGATAGATGGTAGATAGGTAATTGATAGATGATAGATAGATAGATAGATAGATGATAGATAGATGATAGATAGATAGATGATAGATAGATAGATAGATAGATAGATAGATAGATAGATAGATGATAGATAGGTAGTTGATAGATGATAGATTTCATAAATGTTGGCCCGATAAATTATCACATCATTAGAAACCTTCTGTAACTTCCCACTGCTCATTGTTTAACTGCTGAGTTCAGTGTATAAGAAGCTCTTCAATCTGGATCAACTTCTCTTTTCCATTCCTTCTTTGAGCATTGTTTCCTTTTACTCAAAATTTGCTAATCCATGCAAACATGTTCAGTTCTTAAAATTTAGATGACTGGA